CATGGCAATGTAATATAGTATTTATACAAGTATCCTTTTGTCAATAGGTTAACTTTGACCAGAGGGACTACCTGACCTGACCTTGATAAACTAATGTGTAGTACAGTAAATAACAAGGTCTGCAGTGAGTCTCATAGTAACATAATATTATAGTCGTAATTTAATGCCTTAATTGCTTCAGTGTTAATTTCATTTATTAAATATATTCTATCTGATTAGAATTAAAACTCAGGTATAAATAAAGTCTTTGCCAACATAAAATCTACTAAGGTTTATTTTGGTGAGTGTGTAGAATCCTGGAACAAGTAATAACTTTTTTTCTTTCTATTAAGCATTCTTAAATCAATTGTAATGAGTTTATCATCTGTTATTGTCCGTCATCTGTAGTGCCTCATTTGTCAGTCAAAAACTTTTAACATTTTCAGCTTCTTCTCTTGAACTACCAAACTAATTTCAACCAATTTGGGTATATAGCATATATGGGTGAAGGTATACAAAAATTGTGAATTTCATGGTCCCTGTCTTCCAGGGACATAAAAGGTAGGGCTAAAACCATCAAAATTAGTGCTATTTCTAAAAATCTTCTTTGAAAATCTTTCTGCCTTAGGGTATTTAGCAAGCATAGTTTATGATAGTGTGTAATAATGATGAGTAAAGGTGTCTCTTCCAAAATTATGAATTTCTCTGCCGCCTGGGTCTAGGGCCAAGGCAGGGCTCTATTGATTATACATGTACATGTATAGTGGAAATATACAGGTGACTCTCGAAGTTCAAGGGTCCGTAAGCAAAGTTCGAGAGATCAGGGGGTTCGAGAGATAGAAAGTGAATAAAATCCGGAATTTTCAGTTCCGATCATCATTGTTCTACTATTATACATACCGGAAGTATATGTTGATAATGTCATTACACGTTTTCATTTGTATTTTACAGGTAATTCACTTGATTTCGACAACAGTGATCGTGTTTTGAATAAATAAAATGAATAATTCAAGTTTCAATATTTATTTGTACTCATTTCATGATTACATGAAACCTGAATTGCAATTGTTGATTTTGCTAACCCCTGGGCGCGGGCTTGATCGGTCCCGTAATCGGTATACAATTCCTTGTGCAATGTTTGCCAAACTGGGATTGTGTAGACTCTAATAATATTAAAAGTTTATAATATATGGAAAATTACTGACACTTCCCTAAATTATTTTCTCAAAATTATCGTCTCGTCCAGTCAAAACAAGTTGTGAAACGATTTGTTTATAATTTACAAATTAACCAATTGATTTTATCAACACTCGGATGACTAACAGGTGTAGTATCATCTATGTAAACACCCATTTAACACGTCCATCCAAGCCACAGGCGTTCACTGTTATCCAGATAAGTCCAAGCTGAATTAATTTTACGCTTGATTGACATGTATACATGCTCAATCAAAACTTCGAGAGATAGAGAGTAAAAAACAATGAAATATGTGTAACGGGACCCAGGTCTTGGTTCGAGAGATAGAGAACTTCGAGAGATCGGGAGTGTGAGAGATCAAAAGTAAATTTGCTTAGTTATATAGAGGAAAAAAACGGTACCGGAGGTTCACTTCGAGAGATCGAGAACTTCGAGAGATCGGAGTTCGAGCCATCGAGAGCCACCTGTATATTTAACCTGATGTGTTTGTGAGACACTATGCCCCCGATGGTAACACATTTCTGGAGTGGGATGTAGACTACAGTGCAATAGTTATGGCCAATGTTAAAGTTTTTCAAATGTAGGTCAAAGGTCACAGTTGAGGTCACATAAAAAATTTTTGTACCAATGGAAAGGTCTTGTCATAATGAACACTCATGTCAAATATTAAAGCCTTACCCTTGACAGCGCAATAGTTATGGGCTAGGTTAAAGTTGACAACAGACAGACAGACAAACAGGACAAAAAACAATATACCCCCAGGATCTTTCGATCCGGGGGCATAAAAATCTTCTTCTCAGCTCCTGCTTATTAAGCAAACAAACTTGGTGCATAGTAATGATAAGAAAGTGTGCCTCTTGCAGAATTGTAATTGTAAATTGCAAGGGGTTCTGGTGTTGGGAGGGGCTATGGTAAATCTATAGTGAAAATGCATTATTTGTTGAAAGTCTTCTTTGTGCCTGGGCATCTAGGAATACAAAGTTGTAATAAGCAGGGTATTTTAACCAGATTTTTGAAATTGTTGACAATTTGGTCAAGTGTTCATGTGCTGGATAGGTAAATTAATTTGTAGTCTACTGAGAGAAAGTACATGTATTCTCCTTTGTATTTCACCAATGATAATTTATCACTGTTGTTAATGTAATTGAAAGGTCAATTGAATAAGATAATTATAAAAGAATTTTTATAATATATAATCCAAAAAGTACTTTGATCATTTTTAATGGTCAGGTAGAGGATGAGATTGGTTTTCAAATTAGTGCTCAGAATACTATTTTGTTTAGTCAAAATGGTGATAGTGACTCGGGGGCAAGTACAGGAGTACAAAGTACAGGCAAATAACTAGATCTAATTTTAAAAAATTTTACCGAGTACCAGACTGATTCTTTTGATGATCCCTGACCATCCTATTTCTATTGCTTTTGGGCTACATTGCTTCATGTTTTATTTTATGGATTCTTTACAATGTTTCATTTATAATACTTAGGTGACTGTTAAGGCCCTTGTGCCTCCTGTAATTGAGTGTTAGTATCTATTTGCCCTCTCACCCCTTCCCAGAAAAGTGGTTAAAAAAGACACTTGTATCTGACAGGTTGAAGAGGAGACTTCCATGGATTGTGTTGATGACAGTGTTTCTACAAAGATGTGGAAATGAGCAGTTACAGTTAGACAGGAATTGGTGGAAACAACTGGAAAATGCTGTGCTGATGGATGTTAACCGCGCAGGCCACAGCTAGGTTAAGGACACTCATAGGAAGTACGCATTCATATATTCCATAAAAAGATTCAATGTTGAGAAAAAATTTGGGTCATTTAAAAAATAATTGATAAATAAACTTGTTTAATTCATCTGAAATTATCGATCGATGAGAGATTACCTGGTTTAGAGAGGTGTGAAATTCAACCGATCTTGGAGCGATTAATTAGTGTTATTAGGGACAGCCATGCACCTGGCAAACACTTATGTTAATGAGCAGAAAATTGACCAAACTTCAACATAAGCTCGGTAATATTGGTGCTTTTGCCAAAAATTTAGTTCAAGATAACTGGGGTATTTGAGATTTCTGTATTTGAGCTATCCGAGGTTTTTTTTTTAATCATTTATATAGTAAATACAGCTTGGACCGAGGACTAACTTCAACATATCTGGGGTATTCGACATATATGTGCTTGAGATACCAAAGTTTTCTTGTATATAGGGGTCACTGCTGAGTTTGGCCAAAGTGACATCACTTACAATATGACCTGTTTGCCACGTGACAGCTACTAAGGTTAAAATTGGAAAATATATGTACAGCTACAAAAATTGTGAAAGTTTCAACACGATATGGATACATTTTTATTTTGAAATTGACCATTTTATTTGAGACAAATTTCTTAATGTGAAAAGTGCTGGGAGAAAATTTCTCATGCTTGGGAACTATGTTAATTTAGCCATCTTTCTATAAAATGCCAAAAAAAGGCATAGTATGCATTGAAGATATATTAAACTGCAGAATGAAGTGACAACACACAACCAGCTCCCAACTCTTTTTAAAATAGTAGGAATAAAAGCTATATGTGATTAAAAGCTCAGTATTTATAATGAAGCAGATAACGTTGAACTTTGGGATTAATGAGAGCTGGACTCTGTCATTTATCTTAGTACAGTCAAACCTCGTTATCTCGAACTCAATAGGACCGAGGATAGGACAGAGAAAAACTTTGACATATTTACATATTCAAGCTATCAGGGGTAAAAATAGTTAAAGAATTAGTGGCTAGGAATTTCAAACCACTTCGACATTTCCATGGTATTCGACTCACTCGGATATCAGTGTTCTATATACTGAAGTTCAATCGTATGTTAATGTAGAGGTATGCTTATGTGTTCATAAATTAGGTCTATACATGCCTTTTCAATATACAGTAGTTGGAAAATAAATATTGATTAATTTATTCAGGAAAATGTCTCTATCTTGATCATATGCTTGTTTCATATTAATTCCGATACTTATAAGCTACAGTAATTGCCTGATCCATGCCTACACCACAGAGAAACTATGTCAAACTAGTCAGTGATGTTATCTCAGTACAGATCATTAGCTTTCATTCTATATTCAGTTAATGATATTTAGGCAGGATAAGTTGCACATCAATTTATATTATTTTACATTATCTATGGAAAACAAAAATGAGAGTTAGGGAAAAGAACAATTATATTTATCATTTAGTTTTGTTTCAACTCTGAACAGGTGGATGTGGAATAAGGGAGTCCTTAATCTAGCTGCCCCTTCAAGAAATGTGGAAATGAGCAGATACTATCAGATTAGAATTGGTGGAAACAAGGGGAAAAGACAAGACTAATGGATGTTGCCCCTCCAAGGTGTGGAACTGAGCAGCTACAGCTGAACAGGAATTGGTGGAAACAAGTGGAAAATGAGACTGAAGGATGTCGACCCTCCAAGATGTGGAAATAAGCAGCTATAGCCAAACAGGAATTGGTGGAAACAAGTGGAAAAGGCAAGACTGATGGACATTGACCCTGCAAGAAGTGCAATTGAGCAGCTACAGCCAGACAGGAATTGGTGGACACAATAGGAAAAAAAAGAATGATGGATGTTGACCTTCCCAACAGCAAGACTTGCCACAGTGGATAACTGTCACTGATCAGGTATGTGACATAAGTAATAATACAAGATATTTTTTGGACAAAGTAAAGCAAAAGAATATTTTCTTAGGTTATATAATATTTTGCTTTTTTTTGTCTGTTCTTTTCTTAATTTCTGTTTTATACTTACTTACATGCTGAAGTATTAACTTCTATTTTATAGTGTGCTTTGAAGATTTGGTGACAGTACCCTGTAGGAGAAGATAAAGCCATGTGGATGTGCTTGACATTATGAATGACAAGGATCCTTTAGGTATGGGAATAAGTTACCCAAATGTGCCATTCTGTAAGACTCTGTTCTACTGTTTTACTTCATCAGTTCTAATGGTTACCCTTTTTCTTACAGCCAAACAGGAATTGATGGAAACAAGTGGAAAAGATAAGACTTATGGATGTTGCCCCTCCAAGATGTGAAAATGAGCAGCTACAGCCAAACAGGAATTTCAGGAAACAAGTGGAAAAGACAAGAATGATGGACATTGACCCTCCAGGATGTGGAAATGAGAAGCTACAGCCAGACAGAAATTAATTGAAACAAATGGAAATACCAAGACTGATGGATGTTGACCCTCCAAGATGTGGAAGGAGCAGCCAGACAGGAATTAGTGGAAACAAATTGAAAAGGAAAGACTGATGGATGTTGACCTTCCCAACAGCAAGACTTACCACAGTGGATAACTGTCACTGATCAGGTATGTGACATAATTAATAATCCCAGATATTTTTTTTGACAAAGTAAAGCAAAAGAATATTTTCTTAAGGTTATATAATATTTCGCTTAATTTGTTTGTTCTTTTCTTAATATCTGTTTTATACTTACTTAGATGCTGAAGTATTAACTTCTATTTTATAGTGTGCTTCGAAGATTTGGTGACAGTACCCTGTAGGAGACTCAGATAAAGCCATGTGGATGTGCTTGACATTATGAATGACTAGGATCCCTCAGGTATGCAAATAAGTCACCCAAGTATGCCATTCTGTAAGACTCTATTCTTCTGTTTTACTTCATTGGTCCTAATGGTTACCCTTTTTTCTTATTCATTGACAGAAAATAAAAGTATTGAAGAGGCATATCCTTGTGATCATGTTTGGAGAAAGACAAAGAAAGATGACAATGCAGAAAGCCATATTCATGATGCACACACAATCACATCCAATTTACAATGTTATTATTTTATTATCCAAAACAAATCTTTTTGAAACATTTGTTTTGGAAATGGGTGTCTGAGTTGTAAGAGGGTGTGGGGTCGCCCACTCAGACACGTGGGTTTTCTCCGGGTGCTCCGGTTTCCTCCCACACTGACCCCATTCTTTTTCTCTAAGCCAATGAAATAATTATGTTAACTTTGAAAATATTCTAAAGGAAATATTTTTTATTATCTATTGTTTTGCTATAATTGTGATTAGTCTGTACAAATTCACTCGAGCTATTATAACAAGATGGTTAATGGTGACTACTAATTTATTGTGTTATTGAATGTAAATAAGCATTTATTATTCATGTGACTAATTCTGTGGTGAAAATACATGGAAATGTTTGTTGATTGTACATGTATTAGTAAATGTTAAATGACACGAGAATGGTGAATTGTGATGAGTTATTATGCAGTGAAAGTACATGTAAATGTCAATCGTTTGTATTAGTAAATGTAAATTTGTGACAGTGAATGGTGAATTGTGACTAGTTCTGCAGTGAAAGTACATGTCAATGTTAAATTAGTAGTGAATGTTAAATTGTGACAGTGAATGGTGAATTGTGATTAGTTCTGCAGTGAAAGTACATTTCAATGTTAAATTAGTAGTTAATGTTAAATTGTGACAGTGAATGGTGAATTGTGAATAGTTCTGCAGTGAAAGTACATGTCAATGTTAAATAAGTAGTTAAGATTAAATTGTGACAGTGAATGATGATTGAGACTAGAAATGCAGTGAAATTACATGTTAATGTTAATTGTATTAGTAAATGTTAAATTGTGACAGAGAATGATTAATTTTGAATTGTGCATTGTTAGATTTTCTGATCTCATTAGCTAAAGTTTTGTGCAGTGTTAAAAAAAATCACAACCAAAAAAGGGGCAAACCAAAAAAAAGAAAAAAGAAAACAACACAAAAGAAAAAAAATGTAAGAAAAAAATGAAAAAAAAAAGCAAGAAAAAAAAAAAGAAGCCAAAAAAAGAGAGCAAAACGATAGAAAAAAAAGCACAAAACTTTTAATGCTGCCTGCTTGGAAAAAAACATTGCTTTCATCTTTGCATTTTTTCAAGCAGAAGGTTCCAAGCCCTTAAAAGCAGAGGAGAAGTTTTTTTGTGTTATTACACAGTGTAGTACCTAAACAGTTGCTATCAGAAAAAAATGTGCCTACATTACTGCTATCCCAAAATTGTGCGGTTGCTACTGGAAAAAAATGGACGAAATGGTAAGTATTTTTCTTCACTGGCTCAACAAAATGGTCAATAATTCAATTATTGAAGTATAGTTGCTTAGTATTTCACCCTTACGGAATGTAACATACCTTTTAAAACTAACATATATCTCTAAATTTTTAATGAATAAAAGGATTGTTGAGGTATAGGACGAAAACTATCGAAAGCCTAAAGCACATTGACATGCATATAAGAAATACATGTATATTTAATTAGCATCAAAATGTTTAGATATTTGATAAAAATGAACCGACAGATTGGTGTATATTTGTAAAAAGTATTGATTATTTCATAGCATTACCCATTTTAATTGGTTTCTTAAAAACAAAAGCGTTTTTATGCGGAGAAACTTATGTTATGGCTACAGCTACACCGGTTTCTTTTGGAATTAAATGTCTTAAGTTTTCAAATTTTAGTGAAATCTTACGGAATAATTTAGAAAACTGTATTTGAAATGTTCATTCTATTTCCTTTTTAATAACAGACTTGTATATATTAACTTGATTTCGATCCTATAATGACAAATTAGTTTATTTCTATATCTATAGGTGTATGATACATGTATGGGTATGGCTAATTATAATAAATTGTGGTGTTTGTAAATACCCTGTACATATATAGAGGGGATACAAACTCACAATGAGTTTGATAGAAAATCATATCCAACCACAAACCATGCCAGGGGAATATTCTTTTTATCAAATGTTTTATGGAGCTCACCTCAGCAAATGATAACATAATCTAAAAGGTTAGATCAAAGTTTCAATGTCTAAATGAGAATTAAACAGTTTGGCAGAAAGGGGTAAAATCCACATCAGGTTTTGCTGTCTGACATTGATAATGACACAAATAAATTAATTATACCCCACGCAACTAGTTGCGGGGGATATAATGTTTTTGACCCCTCCGTCAGTCAGTCAGTCCGTCAGTCCTGTTTTTTTGTCAGCGCAACTCCTCCTAAACCGCTGCACAGAATTTCGTCAAACTTTGCAGATATTTAGGACACAGAGTGTAGATGTGCATATTACCAGGAAATTCCGATTCCTTTATTTTTTCTGGGAATTTCGGAACTTTTCAACTTCGATTTTTGGCCATATCTTGAATATAGCAATGAACAGTTTGTCAGCACAACTCCTCCTAAACCGCTGCACAGAATTTCGTCAAACTTTGCAGATATTTAGGACACAATGTGTAGATGTGCATATTACCAGGAAATTCCGATTCCTTTATTTTTTCTGGGAATTTCGGCACTTTTTAACTTTGATTTTTGGCCATATCTTAAATATAGTGATGAACAGTTTGCCAGCACAATTCCTCCTAAACTGCTGCACAGAATTTCATCAAACTTTGCAGATATTTCGGACACAATGTGTAAATGTGCATATTACCAGGAAATTCCGATTCCTTTATTTTTTCTGGGAATTTCGGCACTTTTCAACTTAGATTTTTGGCCATATCTTGAATATAGAGATGAACAGTTTGTCAGCGCAACTCCTCCTAAACCGCTGCACAGAATTTCGTCAAACTTTGCAGATATTTCGGACACAATGTGTAAATGTGCATATTACCAGGAAATTCCGATTCCTTTATTTTTTCTGGGAATTTCGGCACTTTTCAACTTAGATTTTTGGCCATATCTTGAATATAGAGATGAACATTTTGTCAGCGCAACTCTTTTTAAACCACCGCACAGAATTTCGTCAAACTATGCAGATATTTAGGACACAGTGTGTAGATGTGCATATTACCAAGAAATTCCGATTCCATTATTTTTGCCCTAAGAGTTTTGCCTATTATTGAAGAAAGTTTCCAGCTAGGTAATAAGGAAATCCACACTGGAATCAGCCTTTGTAATGACATTTTATGTGAAATATTTTATGACCTTAAAAGACCCCTATTGATTTTGAGATCAAAATATTAATGATTTAACTCACACACAAAATCTTGAATCTTGGATAGTTCTCAACCCACCCACCCCCATTATTCCATTATTTATCTAGAAACACTTCAGCCCAATTAAATTTGTAACATACAAAGATTTAAATGTCCTTATGCAAGAAGTTTTGATGTGATGATTTTTTGCAAGTAATGCCCCTTTTTGAATTATACTGTGTATTTAAAATGCACTGTACTATTCAGTACATGTTGCATTGTCGAGTTTTGGGGGAGCGTGGGGTATGTGAGCTTGCTCACTTTTTCTTTCATTGCACATTGTACATAGAAGTTTACGCTATTAATTGTACATGCTATATTGTGCATCCCTAGGTTCATTGTTCTTCCAAACTTTGTCATATATGAAGGTAAATAGTTTCTTTAGAATAGACCTGCACCAAACACTATTCAAAAATTGAAGGCCAGATCGAGCATCAGATCCTATGTATAAGCAATGCATCCCTAGATACACCATCCTTACAGGTTTGGTCCAAGTGTGCGGCTTGCTCGAATAACAGACCTTATTGGATGCTATTATATTATACATCTAGTTCAATCAACTACGATACTGCTTGGCGTATCAGAGGACTTTTCCCCTCCCACTTTTTCCTACTTTTTTCCAAGAAGAGTCTCTAGCTGTTAATGATAGCTTTTTTGGTCAAACACTCCTGTTGTCCAAAACAATATGTACATGTATTGAAAATGAGAACGAAATTGGAACTGGACACAGTTACCCTCCCCCTCCCCCCTTCTATTTCAAAAAAGACTACAAATGTCTGTTAATAATTGTAATGCTCTTTCCTTTAAATTTACATAGATATTACTTACTGGATAGAATTTTAGCCTTTTTCATGTTTGGATCTACAACTTTTTTTTCCAAAGGGGGGGAGGGGGGGACAGAGAGAAATAGAAGTAAATTTAAGAAAATTGACAAGCAAAAAGGTGGAGACTTCTGTATCTGAAAAACATCTTTCTTTCGTGGCTGGGGGGGGGGGGGGGGACGTGTCTCTTCTGTCTGTATAAATTAAATAATTCAGAAAATCCAAAGGGGGGATCGGACATCCTCTCCATTCAAGATCCGATGGTTTGAGTATTGTGTGTTAATTGTATTTTCTGTAGCTAGAGCGTACCAATGCACCACCGTCAAAGGTTACACTTAAATTTTTCTAGCTATTATTTAGGTCTAAGTATACATGTAGGCCACAAAAATCCAAAAAGACTCTAGCTTTGCAAAGGTTTTAAAGTACTGATAGTAAAAGTTCTTTCATTTAATTTAAAATTAATTTTCCTTACCTTCGTATAACTTTCTTTTTGATTTCGTATAGTGATGCCTTTTGAAGATCAGTGTTTCACATGCTGTTTGGGATATCGATGTTTTAAATATATTTTTTAGGTCTGTGCAGGCAAGTACGTTAATTTTCTCTTTCTTGATGTGAAAGAATTTATTTTTCAAATAGCAGCCGGTGCATTATTTTCAGTTTATAGCCGATGTATACATACCAAGATTTTGTTAGCAACCGTAACTTAAGAAGATCATGTTTTGTCCAAAAATCTCTTTCAAAATACACTTTTTAAATAATTTTTATTATATCTACGTATTATTATAGATTGACACATCTTTACACAATGTAACCTATATATTATGAAAAGAAGCATGAAAACTTGCAGTATATTGACTTGCGAATGAGTACAGGCTTCGGAAATTTTACTATATCTAAATTTTTAGATGGTTCTTCTACAAAATACATCTGGCATCATTGAAAGAAATTCCATACTTGTTCCGTGCACAAGGATTTATCTGAGACTTAATTGATTTGGGTCACTTTATGACAATTTTGCAACTTGTTCCAAGTGTCTCCAACATTTTTACTTCAGCTAGCAGCCGTACAAATTTCTAATAGAAACATTTAATGCTTTTTTGTTCTGATAGTAACCGTTTAGGTACTACACCATGTATTAGGTCATCCTTATTTATAGTCACAAATGTGACCTTTGCTACTTTTCCTCTATCGGTTATAAAAAAACATTTACCGGTAAACATTTTCAGCTTCCTCTCTGGAACCAGTGAACCTTATTATTTATTGAATCAATGTCTAACTTTGCAGATAACAACATTTTTGTAAAGCAATACTGTAAAAGAGCTTAATTTTGGCCTGATTGACTTTTACAACATATTAGTACAACATAAAGATTTTGACTTAAGCTTAAGATGTTTCATGATCCCGGGGCCTGGACATCAATCAGTCAAACTTTCAGCTTGATTTCCTTAAAGCAGAACATGATTCGTAAAAGAAATTTGTCCGCCATATTCAGTAGGTTTCTCACTATATCCGAGGGCCCCTATATAAAGCCGCTGACTTGGTCACTGTTCAGTGTAATCAATTATCACGGATGTAGATGGACGTATGCTATATAGCACTTGTTAGCGACAAAATATAACTGTGTACTTCTTCTAATGCAGGAGAGTAAGATATCAAAGAAACCTACAACAGTTGCACAGGTCAGTGCAGTATACATTGAACAAACACAAATACACGTAACTGCAATAAAATGTAAAACAAAGGTAATGTAAGATAACCAGCATGAACATGTGTCGACATTCCACGCTGATACCCATGACAATAAAGCATTCAGGTGTAACGAATGTGAAGGGTATATCCCGGTGCAGATATCGTAACTAGTTGTATCGAAAATGGTGTATGCCCATTTATGAGTC